ACATTCTAATGCCTTTTTCTCTCGGTCAGTTTTGCCGTATCTCTTATAGTTTCTAAGATATTAGCAAATTTGCACAATTTTCTGAGCATTTTACATAGACATTTCGAAAATCGCCACCAGACACCCCAAATTTGAGTCAAAATTATCAAACTATAGCTCATTTTGATCAGCACGACGAGCCCTATCAGATAAAATTGTGCCGGAGTCGCTACGACGTCTCTGTCAGATTTCAGGTCTTCAATTTTTAAGCAATTTTACGCTATTTTAGGTAATTACAAAAATTCGGAGCAGGCGTAAATAATGTCCTATCTTCTCGGGCATAATTTTATCTGATTGGGTTCGTCGTGCTGATCAAAATGAGCTATAGTTTGATAATTTTGACTCAAATTTGGGGTGTCTGGTGGCGATTTTCGAAATGTCTATGTAAAATGCTCAGAAAATTGTACAAATTTGCTAATATCTCAGAAACTATAAGAGATGCGGCAAAACTGACCGAGAGAAAAAGGCATTAGAATGTCGAGTTTACCCCAATTCCGATGTTACTTTCGCGATTTTCAACTTTTTTAGTTAGGCCCCTAGAGCCCCATTTGGGGTCCTTGGGGCACCACCATGGTAAGTCGCACATTGTCGGGGTGTTAATTTTCAGCATTTACCAACCAAATGTGACCGTTTGACACCCGGACCGCATTCAAATTCAAAAATCCTGCATTTGTGGCCCCCTCTAATACTATACTCTAATTGAAAATTCCCGAGCTCATTTTTATGTTAACACTGTTAAAAAGAGTCAGAACTTTACGAAGAATTTGTTGTGAAAAAAGTTGCCAGAACCATCCAGAACTCCTGTGAAATCACAACTCTTCTTCGTTGTCAAAAATTGATAACTTTAGAAATTATTACGATTGGTACATACTAATCATTATTACGTTACTCTATATTATCTAGAATTTCGTTTTTTGGTTGTGGAACGACAGAACAATATGGCACGTCTATGTGATCACCAAGCACGGCTCGTGCGGAGGAATTTTCGGGCACTCGTCGCCACATTTGAGCGTGGCATTGCGCGTCCTCGTCTAAAAGGAGGATGAGGGGGTAGGGTATAAAGGCCAAAGGGGACGGCACGGCGGTGAGGAGCCATGGTGTGCTGTCCTTTCCGGTTCCGTGGGAGGCGTGGTCCAATTCATTATCTCAAATAGGTTTGCTTTCGACCCCCCGCCCGCCGCGACATCCACAACCACCACGGCGCTCGCTGAAGGGGTCTCTCCTGGCAAGCCCGCCGCACTTGGCTGCCCGCTCTGCCCGGCGGCCCGGACCGAGCTGGCAGGCCAGGCGCACAGTGTTACGGCAGGGCAGGTATAACCGGAATATTCCGGCCCCGTGAGTGGGTAGCGGCCTGCCACCCCTCCTGTGCGGGGAGGGGTCGCCGGCCTGCGTCATGCGGGTACCCGTTTGGATTCCTTTCCTAATCCGCGCCTGTTTATTTTACTCCTGACGCAGTTGGCCTCGAAACGTCGTACGACCGCCCCCCCCCCCCCACTCATACTGCCGTCGCTCGAATATTATTTTCTGCAGGGTGCATTGCTATTCCGTCGTGTTGTTGCGGCCGCGCCTTTGGACCCTTTCCCTGCCTCCCTCGGCTTATGGCCCGACTGGGTTAGTGTGATGAGCCTCCCTCAAAGTGACTCGCGGCCAAGAGGCGTGGCGGGGCGTGGCGGGGCGTGGCGGGGCGCGGCGCCGAAGTGGCTGCTTTATGGCGTGGTGTGGCGGGGCGGAGCGGAGCGCCCCGGGGGTAGGCAGCGGCGCGTCACGCGTGCCGGCCGGGCCTGCCTAAGTGCCGGGCTGAGTCACGCTGCGGGCTCCTTGTTTAACCCAGGCGGCGCCGCGGACGCTGGAAAACACAACAGGAAAGAAACAAGGAAATACATGCGTTGTTTTCTTTTCTTGTCACCCGGGAAGCACTTCCCCGGGACGGATGCTCCAGACTCCAGCGGGCTGCGGTTTGATCCGACGGTCCTACCTGGAGCTGGAGCGGCTGGCGGGTCGCTGCGGTTACGGGAAGTGATTGCCACCAAGGGGGACCAGTCGCCACTTGCAAGAGAGAAGGTACAGAGGGGCGGTGCTGGGTACGGCAGAGGGGGGGGGCGACAACATTTCAATAAATGGAGATTCGCCCCTGGAGGAGCGCGGGCCTGCCGTGTTACTGCGGCAGTGAGAGAGAGTGTGAGAGAGAGAGAGAGAGAGAGAGAGAGAGAGAGAGAGAGAGAAAGGGAAGGTAAGCGGTCTCGGGAGAGGGGCGGGGTTTTTGTGTCCTCTCTTGGGCTGCTTATGCTGCTCTGCCCACGTCGCGGCACGGGGCCACCGCCTCTCTGCGTTTGCTGCTGTTTTTGCTCACCGTTTATGAAAAATGCAATGAGGGTCGTAATTCTCATCCGCCGTTAATCACCCTGATTATGAGCGGCGGCATCTTGTGATAGTGACTACCGAGGGTTATGGCCTCGTAATAGCGTAGGGCTCTTCCTGCTTAGCAGCCGCCTGAGACCGCGATAGTAGGCTGGTATAGTTCTGTAGGTACTGCGGTGCCAAAAAAAAAAAACTCGTACGGGAGTACATTCAGGTTTGGTGTGAACGGAACGGACAAACGAGTTTTTGTTTCCCATGCTCTTTAATTAAGAACCCTTTGATTATGACTCTCAATTCGAGAAAATTATTATTCATTCAAGTACAATGGACTCAATTCAAGCACACTTAGAGCGCAGTTCAAGTACAGAAATTCACTTCCAACGCTGAACGCTAAGCTTGCCGAGGGGGTTTTGACATGCGTAATACACTGTTCTCCAAAACGAGGTATTACGCGTAATGCTATAATGAAAATCAGGAAAATATGATTTAAAATGGTAAAATCTTGGTTGAAAAGCCTGTGTAACACTAGTGTTATACCGCGTACTACACGTAATGTGTAATACACTCTACACGAAAATGCGGAGTGGAAACCCCTCGATGCCCACAACAAGAACTCCGTTTTCTGTGTGCACTTAAAAAGAGATGTGGAGATGTTCCGGGCGTGATGTGGGTTTATAGAATGAGACGGGGAAAGAGTGAAGCGAAGGACTCATTTCCGGCTGTAAAGGACCCAGCGATTCTTTGGAGCAAAGCAAGACTAGGAGCGCCGAGCAGCAAAAGCACGAGAAATGAAAAAGAAATCTCTTCTCGTTCTCTCCCGCCTCGGCGCGGCGGTGAACTTCGTTATTATTCCTATACCCGCGCCGCACACGGCCGTTTCTGCATCGCTTATCCCCGCATTTTTATGCGGAATATCTGCGGCGACGACGGCTCTCGAGGCAGCAGAGACAGCCTCTTCCCTCGCGGCCCGTGCAGCACGGCAGCTCTCGGCGCGCGGAGCGAGGCTCGCAGCGCAGCAGGGTTTGAACTCGGATAATTTAGACCTGTCGCGAGCAGCTCGGGGGAGGAGGAAGGGTTGTGCCATCCGACTGTCCCAGCGGGAGCCCCGGCCCGGCGGCCCCTCTGGGCGGCCCCAGCCAGCCAGGCGCGCACAACACATCGGCACAATGAATGCTCGCGAGAGTGTGAATGCTCTGGGGGGAGGAGGGGGAGGAAGGGGGATTAGATACCATTATTAAGGACGCGTACACAACAAACTAGCGCCGTACCCGAAACGCACTAGTCCAAATAATTGGATCTATGATTTTCACCTGTATTTACCAAAAAAACTGTACCCACTGTGATACAACGGTAGCCTGCTGCCTGCTGGATGAACCCCTTGTTTTCAAATTTCCCCGCGGTTGAAGTTGGCGGACGTGCGCTGGTCGTGTTGTTCAGAAGCGGGGAAAGGGGGCGGTAAACGGGTGGAGAATAATTGGAACATGGCGCTGGCAGATACACGGGAGTAATGACTGTTTGCAGCCGGCTCGGCCCTGTGTGTTGTGTATCTGTCCTCTCTCATTTTAGTTCGTTTTCATCCCGATCTTCGATTTCCTATCGCTTTAATTTATTCCATGTCGCACAATGGGGTGAAACGGACCGACCACCGGTCCTTGATGACACACACGCGCCCGCGTGTTCGCGTAAATTGAATAGATTGGGGCGGTCAGCTCTAGCGTTAGTCGTGTCGGGAAGGTTGCTAGACAGTGACGGAGCGAACGAAAGTGACGACGAGTGCGAGGGAGAACATCGGCGTCGAAACTCTGACCGCTCACTCGCTGAGCACTGAGCACACGTTCCTACGCGCCTGGTGTTGTTGTTGGCGGGGCTGTCGTGACCGTATTCGATGTAGGGGGAGGGAGGGACGCACCAAGCGAGGGTGTCGAGCAGGATAACAAAAGATGACTGACTGACTGTGTTCTCAGCTCGAGGAACCCCCGAGCCAGCCGCCCCTCCCCATCTCGCAGGTGAGGTGGAGAGGGAGGAGAGTAGCTTTTTAGAGGTGACTGACGTTGGCGCCCGGCGCCAGCCCCCGCAGCGAGCGCAAGGCGGGGAGGGAGGCCGCGGGCCGCATTGAGCGCAAGGCGGAGGATGACAGGGAAAGCTCGACAAATCCCATTCGGTCCGCGCCTATCCCCCGCAAATACTTTTCGTTTCATCAGTACGGAATAACTTTGTTGTTTAACAGCAGATCAGACGCGCACAATGCGGGCCGGAGTTGATTATTGAGCGTTCGTTGCGTGTGCAACGTGACACGCGTGTTGTGAGCAGTGGATAGAGCGAGGTGGTCGTGAGCCCCTGCCCGGCTCAGCCCGGCGCAGCCCGGCGCCGCCCCATCCCTGTGGTGGTATCACGTTATATGCCTGGTGTCGTAAACCACACCCACTTAGCTGCCCCTCTCTGTCCCTCTCGCTTCTCTATCCCCCCTCTCGCCCGCCATCTCTCTAGAGACACGCGGGTCCCTCGCCGTGCGCCGCGTGGTGTTGTGCTGTGCATCCATGTGCCTCTCGCCTGGAAAGAGGCGGAAAACACCTGACTAATACCCTGTTCTGTTTTCTTTTCAGGTCCGTTTCCACTCTTCTACTTTACTTTTTCTCCGCCGGAGGCGCGCTTTGCCACCCTCGTGGTGGTATCAGGTGACGTAGGACATCCTGCTTCCCCACCTCTCCGCCCTCCTCCCTACTTTCCTATCTCGCCCTCGTTTTCACATTTACTCCCCCTGTTTTCCTTCCCTCTTTATTTCTCATTCCATCGGTTTGGGGCCGTGTAGGCCCCCGTCGGCCGGAGTGTTATTGGGGCCTGGTCGTCCACTT